CGGTGTTGTTTCCACCGGAAGACCTCGGGTTAGCTATTCCAGTTCGGTTCGGTTGAGCGTTAGCCGGAGGCTGTTGCTCGGATCGAAGGTCGGCGGGTTGAGGTTCCGGATCCTGTGGGTCCGGATCTCTTCTGTTCGGTGATCCGTCGATCTGGATCACGGGATCCGGGATGGATGGATTTGTTGCCTGGTTGGATGGATCCATTCTCAAGTTACGGAGTGAAGGATTCAATTATCTCGTCCCCACAGACGGCGCCAAAATGTGAGGGATAAATCTCACTTCCTAGTTTAGGTTAGGTTAGGATTGGGGAGAAGACAATCGTGGGCTGAATCCCTTAAGAACTTGGAGAATGAATACGTTGTTTATATTGATTTTTGGTAATAAAAGAGTTTACAAGGATGATCTTGATGATCTAATGGAAAGAACAATGATTGATCGAAAATGATTAAGAACAATGTGTATTAGAGTCTTGTTTTCTTGAATCAGTTGAATCCCTTCCTCTGATCTCTTCTTTCCTTTATATAGCACTAGGTCACGTCCCACTTCTCCCGACGAAGCCTCCGTGATTATCTCCATGAGTTGCGGGATTCGCAACAGCTTCCGCTTGACTAAGTCTTGCACGTCTCTCCGGAGCTGTTTCTTGCTAACTGTTTTGAAAATGAGGTCCCGAGTCTTTTGTTCGTGACCTGTTTTCACCGATAGGTTACGGTTTCATGTGGTTCTTATTTAAGGGGAGGCTTCTTAATGGGCTCGTAAAGTTTCGCAAACAGCCCTTACTATTTGGCCCATTAATTCAGCTAACGGGTTAAATTCGGGCCCAACAGTTGCTATGTTACTACTTTTTGGTTACTGGTTATACAGCTTTTGGGCGTGTGATTTATATTTGTCGAGAAAAGCACTTTGTATGTATGTTCTTCCATTACTACTGGGAAGTTAATGAACAGAAGCAAATCCTGAAAAGTTATATACTACTTCCGTTCTATAATATAAGATGTTCTAGAAAAATTTTTGATGTTCCAAAATATAAGATGTTTTGACAATTTTAAGGTACTTTAACTTTATTAAAAATTGATTGACCAATAATATTTTATTATATTATTTATGATTGGTTTATCCACCATAAATATCTATTATTATTTGGTAGAAAGTAAGTTTCTTGATTCTTGTGTTTTTGGTAAAATATCCTATATTGTAGAACGGAGGTAGTAACTCCTAGCTAGCTTATGAAATCATTTTAACGGTACTGAAGCGATTTGATCTTAACCGAGAAAGCTCAAGTTAACATGGTTGACGAGATTTTTATCGGTCTGCAAAGTCAACCCAACAAAAAAAGGAATTCGGAATAGCATCAGCTTAAGCTATCAAATTAACATCTACAGTATTTACATCCAAACAATGCTCAAACTCTTTCACATGAAGCTCTGCTTGATCATCTAACGTTTTAAAAATATCGATAAGTAAAACTCTGCTGCATGGATCTTGTTCATCTTGGTCCAACTCCACGTTGCAACCCATATATAACAATCGGTCTCCTAATATCTGTCCTAATACTTCACATTTTCGACGCCAGGATTGCATCCAGCCTGGGAGATTGTCTCGGTTAACCAACCTGAATCGGTTTTCATAGTTTTAAATTTGAAATGTGAAAAATATTATAAGTGGAATATATTATATACAAATAGTCTGTCTATATGTTATTTTTAGATTTTCTTACCACAACTTGGTTTTACGTACTTTGTGAGTTGTCCTATTGCATGAGTGGGTATACATATATATTTATATTGTGATTGTTGAGCTAAAAAAATGACAGACATTATATAATCTGCGGGTATATAAATATAATATATGTTTTGCTCATGAAGAACACACACGACAGGGTTGCAAAACTTATCAACGCCATTAAATCGAACTCATCCCTTGCTGGTCTCTATGGGATCTTGGCGGATATCCAGCACTTAGCTTCATCTTTTGAATGTATTTCTTTTATTTGGATCTCACGAGTGAGAAATGTAGAAGCAGATTTGTTAGCAAAGCAGGTTTTGTCTGCTGAACTAGCCTTAATGGCTGCACCTACCCTGGCTTGATTGAATTAATATAAGTGTGTTTCAAAAAAAAAAAAAAAAGAACACACACGACAGGGTTGCATTGTCTTTTTTATTTGGACAAATAAATGTCAAAGGCATAATTTTATATGATTTGAAAAATTTTGTCAACTAATTTTTAAATCCTTTAACGGATATGCTTATGCCTATCAACAATCATTTTACGCAACGACTTCAATAGTTTACTGTTTTCTTATAAAAAGTTTCTACAAAACAATACATGTACAAGATGAAATGACGATCAGATAAAACAATTACATTGCTTGAATAATTATACACAAGAATTATTATTTACTAGTAGTCTAGTACTCTAGACTCTAGAACATATCTTGAAATTTGTAGTACACAGGTATGGATTTCACAAGATGAAGAAGATAATTAAATTATAGGAAATGGAAAGAGCGAACAACTATTTAAGCGTAGATACGTGGACCTGTGTTATACAAGCATGCTTCAGCGTTGTTATAAGGACATGGCTCCAAGCGAAAAGCACGTCTCGTATGAAATAATCATGAACTGTAACATAAACTTAAATATTCTATCGTAGGTTAAAAATAAGTCAAATGCTTAAAAGCCTACCTAGAAAATGCTAATAGGACGCAAATGCTGTTATTAACTGTCGATGTTTTAATACATTACAAAGTTTCTATGTATGAAATGTGGCAACACAACACGTCCATTTTTTTTTGTAAGATGGATGAGTATAGGATTAACAAATGTATTTAAAAGGTCAAAATTATGCAACCACTACAAAGTCAAAAGCAATTGTAAATAGAAACAAAAAAAGTCAAAAGCAATTGATTTTGGGATAGCATCATCGATGATGTATAATACGTAGCAAAGACATGTTCGGGTGTTTGAGGGCAAGAAAAGATCAAGTGAAAGACAGCTTTACACTCCTACGAATGACAGTTTTATAGGTTACATGAAAAGAGTGACACGTTTATTGAGACAAATTCAAATTCATGTAACAAGTAACAATGACTCGAACTCTCGACGAAACAATATAAAACTTACAACGACTCTTCGTTGATGATAACAAAATATATATAACGTAAGTTACAAAATATATATATATATAACTAGTTATAATTGTTGACAACAAACTTGTAATGTCTTTCATCTACCTCAAACGTGGACTATAATTACTCCAAATGCTATGTTTTCTTCGTTCATGATCTTATTATTGTTGGTGCTAGCATATTTTTAATAAATTCCAAATGGTATATCCTGAAGAGGGGACTAAAAAGAAAGATCAATATATGTTTAAGGGAACAAAAGCCACATGAACAATCTTGAATTCTGAATTTATTGAGAGAGATGTACAATCTTATGATCGTTGGAAACCCAAAGGAGAAAAGATTCACGATGTATTTAGCCATGTGTACGCTTAGGTATTCTACGGTAAAATAAACGAGAGGTAGGGAGCTGGAGAGGTATCACTAAAATAAGAGAGATGAGAGGTATTTACAAATGTATTTACATGTATCATCTAATTTTGAGTATTTAATTTTGTGATCTCCCAATATATAGTCAAGTCCAAATATAATATTTAATTTAGCCTACGCTAGTAAAATTTAGTTTTTGGTGAAAATTTGACTGGAATATGGTTGGAAATGGAAAATTCAATTCTAACTTTCCTCATCGTTGTTGTTATATGGATTCAGATAAGCGTTTAATGTGTGTCTTTTCGCATGTTTCAGTAATATAACGTAATATAATGTCAATATGTAAATTTAGTAATATGTGGTTTGTGTTTTACCACTAAGTTACTGAAAACTGATCATTACAAATAGAATATTGTTGTTTGCGGCTGCAATTTACATTAACAATATCAGTTTGAAGTGGTCCCTATTCTATATTATGAGTGATTATTTCAATAAATATTATTAAAAACAGATCATATGTATTTTGAAATATAAAATATTGTTTCAGATAGTAGTTACTCATAATATTTCTCAATTAAATAAATATTTGACTTTTTATTTTAATCGAAAAAAATCCACTGTATATAAAGTTGAACCGTTCTTGCCCAGACGTGGTAACATTAAGGTCTACTCTTTCAGCCAAAAAAAAAAAACATTTAGGTCTACTTGTGAACTATATATAGGACAAGAAAAGTTATGCTTCAGACATCGGCAAATAATCTTATCTACTAATTCAAAACTCGTCTTGTGTTTCATTTGACAGAGTAATGGAAACCTCAAACATCACCAGTCACACAAATCTTCTATCGAAGATAGACCTAGAAAAGCAAAACCCTAACCACATTGTCCCAATAATCTCTGAGCTTAAGACAGAAGCAAGGTCTCTCTTCTCCTTAGCCTTTCCCACCATCCTCGCCGCGCTCATCCTCTATGCTCGCTCAGCCATCTCAATGCTCTTCCTTGGCCATATTGGTGAACTAGAACTCGCTGGAGGCTCCTTAGCCATTGCCTTTGCCAATATCACTGGATACTCAGTTCTTGCAGGCCTTGCACTAGGCATGGACCCACTATGTTCTCAAGCCTTTGGAGCTGGAAAACCAACACTCCTCTCACTAACTCTTCAAAGAACCGTGCTCTTCTTGCTCACCAGCTCGCTTGTAATCGTTGCTCTATGGCTTAACCTGGGGAAGATCATGATTTCTCTCCATCAAGATCAAAGTATTGCATCGTTGGCTCAAACATATATCCTCTTCTCTATTCCTGACTTGCTCACCAACTCTATTCTTAACCCTCTTCGTATATACCTTCGAGCACAAGGCATCACAACTCCACTAACTATTGCAACACTAGCCGGCACCATCTTCCACATACCGATGAACTTTCTCCTAGTTTCTTACCTTGGATTAGGTTTCATTGGTGTTTCAATGGCTGCAGCCGCTTCAAATATCTTTGTGGTCATCTTCCTTGTGGCCTACGTTTGGGTCAAAGGTCTACACGAGCCAACGTGGACACGCCCTAGCTCAGAATGTTTCAAAGATTGGGGCCCACTAGTTAGTCTCGCAATACCTAGCTGCGTGGGCGTATGTCTAGAGTGGTGGTGGTACGAGATCATGACCGTTCTTTGTGGTTTACTCATAAACCCTCAAACACCAGTGGCAGCAATGGGCATTCTTATCCAAACGACGTCGTTGCTTTACATTTTCCCATCGTCTCTAGGGTTTGCAGTCTCTACCCGCGTAGGTAACGAGCTTGGATCAAACCGACCAAACACGGCTAGGTTATCAGCCATTGTGGCCGTTACCTTTGCAGGAGTAATGGGTATGACTGCCTCTGCGTTTGCTTGGGGAGTAAGCGACGTATGGGGAAAGATTTTCACTAACGATTTTGATATCATCAAACTAACGGCGGCTGCGCTGCCTATTCTCGGGCTCTGCGAGCTCGGGAACTGCCCTCAAACAGTAGGTTGCGGGGTCGTTAGAGGAACTGCTCGGCCGTCTAAAGCTGCCAACATAAACCTAGGTGCGTTTTACCTTGTCGGAACGCCTGTAGCTGTTGGGCTAACGTTTTGGGCCGGGTATGGATTTTGCGGGCTCTGGATAGGTCTTTTCGCGGCTCAGATAAGTTGTGCTGCTATGATGCTTTATGTCGTGGCTACGACAGATTGGGAGGGAGAAGCGATGAGAGCTAGAAAGCTTACTTGCAGTGAAAGCGTTGATGTGGTTATTATGGCGCAAAGTTACGGGGATTTAACGGAACCATTAGTTTACGTTGTCACCGTCGCTGCTGACGACCACTAATCTAATGCATTGCGTTTTTTTATTATTTTTTGACTTGGAATGATCGTTCCTTTCGGGGAGGGAAATTTGAAATTTGTAATTTTGGATAAGAAAGAAAACATAGATTTTACACTGATTACTTTCATCCAAAAGTAACTTTGTTTATAACCAAAAATAAATATTTTTAATGAAATGTATTGTTTATATAAATATAATCATATTTTTATTTACATAATAGTTTGTAAAAAAATTAGTGTAAATAATATCATAATTTTATGAAATGTTAAATTAGGTTGATCTTCAACTTTCATAAATAAAGGTATTATTTTAAAATTAAAAAATATTAAAATATTCCTTTTTAGAGGAAGAAATTGATGAATACATTGGAGATCAATCCATCTATATTATAGAGTTCTCTTATTTTAGAGGAAAAATAAGGAAACACATTGGAGATGATCTTACACCATGTTTAACGCTGATCCTTAATGAGATCCTTAACTTAATTTGGTGAATTAATTAAATCAAAAACAAATAAAAAGGGAATAATCGATCCTTAATAGGTAGTTTTGTTACCGATTTTAAGCGTGGTTCTTAAACCACGTGTAAGCACCTCGTTTTTTTTCTTTCTTTCTTCCTTTTTCTCACTGTTTTCTTCTTGTTTTCTACGACAGAGGCGAAGGATCCAAACCGACGACGAAGGACGACTCTGTATCTGTCTTCTCCATCTGCTACTGGTTTCATCATCTTCGTTCTCTCCTTTGCGAAGTAAAGATATCGTTCTCTCTTCGTCCTCGTCTCTTCTCCCAAACCAAAACGTAAGTGGAGTCGAACCCTCTAGTTTTTTTTTTTGTTTTCCAGTTCAATCTTCTTATCGTCAATGTTTGCTTGATCGTAGATTCCATTAATCTTTGGGTTCAATTTGATTTTTGGTTCAAAGGTTGCAAATTTTTTTATGTATTTCTAGATTGAATGTTTCATCTTCTTGAGATCAGAATTACTTTAAAGCGTTTGGTGGTTTCGATGATCCAATATGAAACTGCTATGTTGTTTCTTGTGAATTGAATGACATCTTTGTAGGTAATTTTCTAGGTTTGTAATTTAAAAAGGATAAAGTGGCTGAGGCATCACCAGCTTTGAGGCACCACTCTTCAGCTTCAGAGATTGCGAATGGTTTACTGTCTTGATTCTTGGGGGTTTCACGAGAGTGTGGTTGCTCAGGGGTTTAAGGTTGTGGAGAAGCTTAGAGGCGGTGAGGTTGGTTCGAAGAAGTTGTTGTTGCCGGTGGTTAACATAATTGAACAT